AGAAACGGGCCTGTTTATAAGTTTCCTGAGCGATGACAATTTGTATTAGTTTTTATTTTAAGTGCAATGCTATATATTTTAGCATTGTGTAAAATATTGTCTGGTTGTGTTTTTTGCCTGTTTTTTTTCAAGAATTTAATTTATACTTTATGTTATTAATTGAGGGACCAAGAAGTAAAAGGGTTTAAGAGCATTTTTGTTAGTTCTGAGATAAATGGCTATAAAGTTAACTTGAATTTTAAAATTCCAGAAAAGAGTTTAAAAAACTGTGTGAATATTTTAGTTTTGTTTGAAGACTAAAAAGGATTATAAAGAAAAATGAATTTTTCAATTTCGCTTTTTTATTAATTTTTTTTACAAAAATGTACTTGAATCGTCATGCATGTAAGACAAAATTTAGTGGTAAAATGATTTAAATGCAATTACTGTACTAGAACAAAACTTTATTTTTTAAAATTTGGGTAATTACCCAGAAAACACACTAGTCCGGCCATGGTTGGGGTTGACCTATATTGGATTTTTTTGGCTCAATAGGGCTATGGTCTTAGTTTGTTTCTTTTTTTCTGATGGATCTCGATCGTACTCTATGTTTTTATAAAATAAGTGGTAAATTGGCGGAATATAGTCCAATAAGGTACCTAAGCGGCTTTTTTTTAGTTTTTGCTGGAGTTACATGGCCTTCTTTTTCTTCTTCTTCATTGATGTCAGGAACATAGTTACTATGTTGAATCCTCATCAGTCTGGACCGATGCCATAATCGTAACGCTGGACGATGTCGTTCCGACCCCGGTCACACTATGTCGAAACGAGCTACTTGTCAAGGCTTTAGCAGCATAGATAATAGCCTATGTTTAGCAGTAAAAGGTGCACTTAAATCGTTTTACCAAAGATATATTTTAAAATATTTTGCCAGGTTTTTAAAGACGATAAGAAATGGCGCCAGGGAATGTAAAATGTACTTATATAATTTTACCACTAAGTTAGAATATTCTTTAGGTGTGATATTCTGCACTTAGACCATTTATTTAAAAAAGTGCACTTGTACCGTTTTACTTCCAAGCCCCTCAATTATTAATAAATGTTTAAAATTTTTTAACTTGGTTTTGTTCACCCCCCATTTTTCGTGTGTAGTTGGCCGATTTTTCTGAATTTCCCGGGCCGGTCTGATATAGCCAGCACGCCCCTGGATATACTCTATGGATATCCAGGATATATACCTACATTGGATATTCTTGATATCTCCCGTAAGAGATGAACAATACGAAAACCGTAGTGCTGTGTTGGCTTTGAAGGCATTTTTCTTCGTTCTGATAATTTTGAATTTGTACTACAAATTTTGTAGTAAGCTTTCATATGGCGCGTAAATATAAAATTTATTTCCGTTTTTCATGGATATTTCGTCAATTTTATCAAAACAGTTTTATTTTATAGTTAACACGCTTGTTTATAAGGTCCAAAAAATTTTTTTTGTCATTTAATTTTTAAGTTTTTTTAACATACCTAGTATCTGGAAGTAACTTAGATACTTTTTGAATGTATCTGTATCTGTACTCAGATACTTTTGGGAAAATGTATCGGTATCTGTACCCAGATACATCTACCAGAGAGTATCTGTATCGGTACCTAGATACTGAAAAAAATGTATCGGTTACATCACTGTGTCTACCGAGCAAATCTTTTAGTTTTTTTTTTAACAATCCTCAAAGGTTTTTAATAATAAATTAATAAATGAAATCCATATGTATTTTTATATTTTTAGGGCACAAGCTTTTGCATTTAATAAATAAATTTGTATACTATACAAAAATAATTTTAAAACTTTCAAGTGTATAAAAAATATAAGCAAAAATATTATTTTTGCTTGTATTTTTTACCTTTACTACTTGGCTTGTACTCAAAATTTTTATTCAAAAGCAAAAATCCTCACATTTTTTATTATATAGGTATTTGTAATTGCTAAAATTTATTTTGTCAAGCATCAAAACCTTTAATGAAAATTAAACATTTGTGACTTTAAACTCACCTTCATTGCTATTTTTTTATTTAGACTTATTATATTTTAACTAACTACTTAAATTTCTTTGACTTTTATTTTTGTTGCTAATTTATAATTTGTATAATCCTTTATTTAGAAAATTATGTTAATAGGCAATATTTTTTCTCTTTAAAATACCTTCCTAAAATTGCTCTTCATTTTTTTTTTATTTAGGCTATGTTTTAAGTTATGTTACAAATATTTGAATTTTTCTAGTTATTATTTAAATTAATATTGATTTAAAAGTTGTAGTGTCTAGAAAATTGTTAATATATTGAATATAGGCAATAGTTTTTCTTTTTAAAATACCATTGAAATTTGTTTGTTTAAGCTATTTTGTTATATTTTAATTTGTTTACTTTAACTATAATACAAGACTAATATTTAGATAATGTTTTTTAGATTTTGTTAATTGGGTCAGAATTTCTCAAACGGGCCACCTGAATTAGGTCAAAATTAGTTTTTGTTTGTAGATACATTTTTTCGATAGTATTTTACATCACTAACACAAATCCTAAAGGATTTTGTAAAAAAAAAAATTTCAATCGACATATTCATGATATTAAAAGTCAAAGTTTTTAATAATTAAAAAATAAAAAAATTCATTATGGCTGAACTAATTATCCGATTCCAACGATATAACTAGCGTTGGAATCTTGTTTTGACATAGATTCTTTGTTATTTTTTTCAATTGTCCTATTTTCATTTAGGTCGATTTTTTTTTGTTTTTTTTATAACAAATTCGGAAATAATTGGCTTCTGCGCCAGCTATCGACTCGAAAAAAAAAACACATATACTCCAATCATTTTTCGAAATTATGCTGCTGAGAAAAAAAATGGCCCGCAGGTTGACAAAAAGTTATTCGTCCTTTTGTGGCCGCGCGCGGTGTCAGCTCACGCTCCGAACCGTGTACGCTATACGCGCTTGTGACGCGACGTCTTACGGTGGTCTGGAACCTGCGGGCCATTTTTTTTCTCAGCAGCATAATTTCGAAAAATGATTGGAGTATATGTGTTTTTTTTTTCGAGTCGATAGCTGGCGCAGAAGCCAATTATTTCCGAATTTGTTATAAAAAAAACAAAAAAAAATCGACCTAAATGAAAATTGTACAATTGAAAAAAATAACAAAGAATCTATGTCAAAACAAGATTCCAACGCTAGTTAAATCGTTGGAATCGGATAATTAGTTTAGCCATAATGATTTTTTTTTATTTTTTAATTACTAAAAACTTTTACTTTTAATATCATGAATATGTCAATTGAAATTTTTTTTTTTACAAAATCCTTTAGGATTTGTGTTAGTGATGTAAAAATACTATCGAAAAAATGTATCTACAATCAAAAACTAATTTTGACCTAATTCAGGTGGCCCGTTTGAGAAATTCTGACCCAATTGGGAATTTTTAATTAATTTTAATATTGATTTAAAACTTGTGGTATCTTGTATCTAGAAAATTGTTAATATATTGAATATAGGCAATATTTTTTCTTTTCAAAATTCCATTGTAAATTTTTTGTTAAAGCTATTTAGTAATAATTTAATTTGTTTACTTTAAGTATAATATAAGACTATTATTAGAAAATATTTTTTAGATTTTGTTAATTGGAATTTTTTTCTCAAATTATTTTTTTTGTACAATAAATTTTTGTTGTTTTTAAATATATATTCATTTTTTCATTAATAAAGTAAAATCCTACCCAAAATTATTAAAAAAATCCAACGTGTTATGATACAATAATCCCACGTATTTCCAACGTTTTCTAATACATAAAACCCACATATTTACCACGTTGTATAATACACAAATCCAACGTATTTCCAACGTTTCCACGTTTTTTATAACATTAGAAACTAACGTTGTCATATAACGTTATAAACCGGGACATTTCAACATAAAATTATACATAAAAGTTAGGTTTTTCCAACGTGGGAAAACGTTGTTTCAACGTAAAATTTCTACCATGGTATAGCATGGGCGTAATCAGGGGGAGGGAGCGGTTGCCCCCTGGAAGGCCTGGAAAAAAATATTATTGGCATGAACCCTACTAAATTGCTAGCCAATTTAATTATCTATCGAAAATCATTAATTAAAAAATAATTGTAGGAAGCTTAGCTTTTTTTACGTATATGTGTACTCCCCCTGCTGAAAAGCTACGCCCATTTATTATAGGTATTATAATATTTTTGTTTATAATATTAATAACAATTTTTTTTCCACTTTTGACAAATAAAAGAACAGTAAAAAAGCTAAACTAAATTAATTAAATACTACAAAATAACAAGAGAAAAAATTCAGAGGGATCATTCAAACACAAAGGCTGCAAATATTCTTTTAATTTATTTTTAAAAATTTTAATATTTTTTGAATCCCGAAATATTTTTAATTCTAAATGCTTAGGTGAGTTAACTTTTTATTGTTTATTGTATTAAAATTATAATTATATATGGACATGATTGACCAAACTAAATTTTGATCTATTTGTATGAATAAAAAAGCCTGATTCTAAAACATACAGACTGGACAAAGTTAAAATTTTATAATTAATAAAAATCTGTCATGTAGACTACTGAATAAAAACAATTTTAAAAATTTTCTTTTGTGAAATAAATACATTTTTAAAAAGAGGTGAGCTCTCCCAGAAACAAATAATGTATCTCAATCTTGACTCAATATAAGCATAATTAAGATTAATTAATTAAGAATGGTCAAGGATTTTTTTAAGTATAAGAATTAAGTATACCATTTTGTGCACATTGCTTTATAACACTGTTAGTGAGGTTTGTAATTTAAATTTTTGTCTATGGAGAAATCCATCCGCCAAGCATGTAAACCTTAGCTGCCCTATTAGAATTTAAGATGTGTGTATATTTCAGAGTATAGGATACAAAAATATAAAAAAAATGATTATTTAATCATATAATGATCTATAATAGGTATTACAGAATATTCCAAAAAAACTTACCTCCGGTTTTTTATGTAGTTTATGTAGTCTCGTCTCAGTCAAAAAGTCTATTAAAGCCAACAGTCCAGTCTCTAGTTCTGTTTCTGTTAAGTCCCTGGAACTTTCCGGAAAATCCGGTGTGCCGGTTTGTTGCGGTAATAAGTCAGGAAATAGTCTGATGACGTCGCATGGATCGGTACCAAGCTTAAGAAACTCTTTCATACTGTCGTGGAACTGTTTATTGGCGAATAAATCGTACGCCAGGAGTGTTTGGATTTGATGGATTTTTTCTTTTTTGTCGTCTTCGGATTCTTCGGAAACCAACTAAAATAAAATATTGCATTAAAAAAACTTTTTAATTAATTTAAGTTATAACAGCCTGACAAACCCAAACTACACAAAATTTTCCATTCACATTAAATAAATATAAATTTTATAGTAAAAAAACATTTTTCCTAAATATATAAATAAAAACAACACTGTTTTAAAGTTTCACTATTTTATTTAATAAGTAAAAAAAATTTTAAGTGGCGGTATTTATATTTGCTAATGCAGGTATTTGAAAAAATACGTGGATTATAAACATTTTGCCTGAGGCATTAATTAAACTTAAACAATTTTGTATACCTGAATTAGCGAATATAAATGCAGCCTCTTAACCATTTGTACTTTTTCTGAAGAAGCTACCGTGAAACAATTGTTAATTTAAAAAAACATAAATAAAATAGTGAAACTTTAAAACAGTGTTGTTTTTATTCATATATGAATAATATGCAGTTTCATCAAGTAAACGTCAACATTTTACCAAAAGTTAAAACAGCAATGAAAATGTAATAAGTCTTTAAAGCACGCGACGTAAAAATTGGACCACAGAACATAACAAGTAACAAGTACTCCACCACGTCAAGTGCTTAAGGACATAGATTTTTTGTTACGTCTTTAAGTCGATTTTAATACATCTTAAGAAATTATGCATTTAAAAAAATCATAACTAGGTATGTGAATTTTTTAAATAGTATTTGATCTTAGCAAAAAACCGTATTAAACGATATTAATTATCCACGTCGGAGACGACAGTTTCAATGAGGATGATGGCTTTGACGAAAGTATTTAGATCCTTAAACATCAATAACAAGTAATCACCACAAATACCCCTACTCCTTCAGAACGTTAATGAAATTAATAAATACTTTGGAAGTATAACGCCGTAAAATTTAGAAGCTGATATAGACTTTTAATGTTCATCTCAATAAAACTAGGCCTAATGTTGGTAATTTCACATTTGAATTGGTGTCTAAAGAAGAAATTCTTACAGTCATAAAATCAAAATCAAAAGCTATACGAGTAGGTGGTGATGATATTGGAATAGCAATGCTCCTGCTTTGCTATCCTATCATTCTTCTTAGTATTACCCAAATAATCAACTCTTGCATTGAAGTTATTTCTTTTTCCGATTTATGGAAAACTTCTATTGTGATTCCAATGTAAAAAATCTCAAACCCTCTAGATTATAAGGATCTCAGACATATCCGTATTCTTTCTGTTCTGTCAATGGTTTTTGAAAAGGTGATGAGTAAACAGATTACCAACTATTTAAATGTTGTTGCAAATTGATTCAGAAACAACTTTCCTACAACTTTGTTTTTGAAACTTTTCACGTGAATTAAAAAAATATCGAGTTATTTGACAAAAACAAAATAATACCAAGAGGGCAAAGAAAGCATCCAATCAATTTGTTACAATTTTGCACTTTTGGTTTTACGAAACTGTATAGAAATTTATATGTAATTATTTTTTTCAATTCAGGTGATTTTTTGTCTAGAATGAATGGGCTAGAAGAAAATTCTTCACTAGGATTTGAAACCATATTTTGAATAAAAAAATGTTTTTTTTCATTAATTTCTTTAAAGTGTTGGGTGTTTTGACTAGTCCCAATTAAACCAATCCAGATTTACTACATTTTTTGTTGTAATAAGGTTTTAAAAATAAGCAAGGAGTCATCCCGAAATCAAAAATATGAAAAAAATTTCGCATTTGTAACTCAATCTGTGGACAACAATGTTCATATTTTGTCAATTATTACTTACTGTTAAATTTAAAGCCAGTTGAAACTGCTTAGATTCCAGCAAAACTCTGCGTTGTTTAGCAACATCTACTGCTTGAATGCACCAAATTTGACTTATAGAGGCCGCATATAAAAGGCCTTGTTTACATGGCACCAAAAACCTGACTTTCTGCAAATCTGGGAAGGACTGAATTAAACCATTTGGCTCCAACGTTTGCACCTCAAGGCTGTCGGAAAAAACGCCAAGAGCATAGGGCTCGTCCCAAGCCATGGTCAAGGGTACATCAGACCAACGTAAAGCTTTGTTTCTGTCAGTTTGCCCATTTACATTTACCAGAACTGTTTGGGATTCCCTGCATAAAGCAAAGGTATTTTCGGAAACTTTCACTATACAGGGATCATTTGATCTTGTGCTGCTTGTAGGAAATAAATCGGTGTATTCAATTTTTGAATCTTTAAACTAAAAAATATATAGGTTGTTAGGTAAATATTTACCACTACTTTAATAGGTGTCAACATAATATATAGTTATTTTCCAAGTGCGCAGTTTTATTTTTTCGCACGCTACTGCAACTGCAACTAACGACGCGTAGCGAAGTTCGGGCAAGCAAGTGCAGAAAAATTTATTTTTAAAAGCAAGGGAATCTCACAATTTTCTGTATTAGTTTCTATTTTTAACTTTTTTTATTGTTCCTACAAACGTGCGGAAAATTGCTACTTGGATATATTTTTATATTAAATTATATAATTATATAGGCAATATTTTTTGTTTATAATAAAAAATACTACTAAAGGCTTCAAGATGTAATAATCTTATTCCTGTATTAACACATTTACGTGTGCAATGTAAGCGTACATCTGCACGCGTATTACTTTGTGCATGCGAGTAGAAAATAATTATTTATATTATGGGTGGTAATATGAGAACTGATCAAACAAAACGCAATACATTTTTAAATCTCAAAAAAATTATTATTCCATATTTACAGAAAAGATATGATTATACCAAAAAATTAACTTAGATCGTCTTGAGGCACGTGTTGTTTTTAATTAAAAAAAATCCCAGTGTTTTTACATCAAAACGAAGCTTTTTAGGCGGCGTCGCAAAAAATTTAATTTTTAACGACCACCCTAGTATATAATAATAATAATAATAATAAAATACTTTATTCATCCCAAGAAACAATGAGAACTTGTTTATAGAGGGCATCTCTATATACACGATAGATATTTAATATTGAATACAATTACAAATTTTGAACTTAACTGACTACATATTACCATTATCACATTTATAAATATCACATTTCAGTTACAATCTGTACAGATATACTAACAAAATAAATAAACTTATTATACAAACACACTTATGCTTATTATAACATATGTACATGTTGGATACATGCATCCAACATACTCCACAAACATTTATATTTATCTTGGATGAAAGAAATTTTTTAAAGCCTTAACATTATTTAAGGATTTGACATCGTCAGGCAAGGTGTTATATGTAATTAAGCCTCTATACAAAATAGAGTTTTGTCCATACCTGGAGCCAATTTGTATCAAGTCTAAACTATTAACGTTTCTGGTATTGTGGCTATGTATTTGATTTCTAAACATTACTTTTAGATTAGAATGTTTTTTATATTATTTACAACATTCTGTATAAAGGAACAAACTTGATATTTATAGATATTGTCCAAAGGCATAATGTTAAAGTTTCTATACAAATCCTCTGTATGATATCTAACGGGTAAGCAATAAAGATTTTTAATTGATTTATTTTGAAGTGTCTTGATTGGTTTTAGTACTTTTTCATGTGTTGAGTACCATATGGCCGCCAAATACTGAAGGTGGGAGTGAATAAGTGCATAGTAGACTGATCTTAAATACTTCTTAGGGAGTGAACCATTTAATCTGTGTAAAATACCTATTGGGCCAGATATTTTTTGTCTTAATTTTTTAACGTGATCGGAGAATGTTAATGTTTCATCAATTATAAGACCTATCGTCACCCTAATTCTATGTTTCTACAGGATTATACGTGGCCTACGCTTCACATACCACTTAAAAATAATTATATAGAATGTATATTTTATGTATTCATATATATAGAGTTATTTTCAAGTTGTATGTCAAGGGTGGATTACATAAAACGTTGTAAAACCATAAACTCAAATTTTTCGGTTTTTTAACATACAACCTTGTTATATTAGGGTGACGATATATAGAGCTATATATAGCTCCTTCAAATAATAAAAATTTACAATTAAAGAGAATAGCATTGAAAAAATTATGGCTACAATCAAAATTATCCTTTTATTTGGGTAGTAATAAACTGTTCAGTAAATGAATCTATTTTGTTAAGTATAAAAATATTTAGTAAAATAATCCATGTTGCACAGTAAAAAATACAAATGTCACGTTATTTATGCACAGTAGGTACTTCCCTATTGAAAATGCCATATAGAACCATATAAAAACACGTATCTGGATTCTATATGGTTTCTATCTGGTTCAATATAGGTATTTGAAACAGGCATTTCACTATAGAACCAGATAGAAGATTACATTATAGAATCAGATAAAAACACTCTAAAACACTATAGAACCAGATAGGGAAACCTATCTGGAAATACATATAGAACAGAAACCAGATAAATACATCCATATACCTACATGTCTTTATAAAGACATGTATATGGTTGTATATGGATTTATCTGGTTTCTGTTCTATATGTATTTCCAGATAGGTTTCCCTATATGGTTGAATATGAAAATTTTTAAAATGGAAATCCATATTCAACCATATAGAATCCGTAATGTAAACCAGAACTTTCCATATAGGACCAGATACGTTTCCTTATCGGATTCAATATGGGTTCTATATGGCATTTTCAATAGGGTTATTTTAATAATTTTTGTACAGTATAAAGTAAAAAAATATCAAATGCACAGAAATTTACTCCAATTTTTTAGGTATAAATAATAAACGTTAAGTAAAAAAGAAAACCGATTTTGCTTTTGAGTATGGAATTTGTTTGCTAAAGTTAGCATGAAGTTAAAATTAGAATAAAGTTAGGTTAAAGTTGCTTGACAGCTGTCAGATTTCAAATATAATATCAAATAAAATTTGCTTTAAATTTTTTGTGGTAGTTGAATAAAATATTGTGTGGGACTATTGTCTAAACAGGATTTCGCTTGTTACCGCACTCGCTATAGCGTATATATATATATATATATATATATATATACGCTCGCTAGGCAAACTCCACGCTCGAGGAATCTCCTCCTTCTCCCAGTAGTCGCACAATATACCATTATTTAACTTCCATTTCATTTCTAAACTTTAAAGGGTAGGCGAAATTTTACTAAAATATCAAATAAAATTGGCTTTAAATTATTTATGATTGTTGAATAGAATATTTTGTGCGACTATTTGTTAAAAGAAGAGATTCCACTCGCTACGCTCATGCGGCAAACTCCACGCTCAAAGAATCTTCTCTTTTTCCCACTAATCGCATAATATACTATTGTTTAACAACCTTTTTTGACTATCCAGTGGGCGAAATTTTACTTCACCCACAGGCTAAATTGGAAAAAAGTGAGGTTAATGTAGCTTGACAGCTATCAGACTTCATAGCTTTTGTTATTAAAAAAATAACCATTTTGAAAATTGTTTGAACACTCCGTTATATAAGTAAATCGACATAAAACATTAAAATTAAGAAAATAAAATTTTCAAACTAATATTTTTATAATCAAAATAACGCCCCCTATAAAGTTTGATGTTAGGGCCCCATTTTCTGGACACCCTGTATACTGAGCATTTTTTAAATTTCATTTAATTTAGTAAATTTTGTGGCCTACCCCACTATAAAGAAAAACAAAAAAATGCTCTTTGGAAGATTTAAAAAAAGGAACTTTTAGCTTCTCTGATCATATTAATTCACTTAAGGTAATGGTACCAATACGTATTTAATAAAAATATTGACTTAAAACTTTATTTTTTACCTCAATTAAAGCATACTCTCCTCTAAATCCAACACATATAGATTGTTGACACCAAACCATAGAACGGGGAACATCAGGTAAGTTAATATCATCTTGTAATTCAAACAGTTCATTATTTTTTAAATAATACAGTTGAATTTTTCTCTTTACTATTACTGCAATTCTTACTAATACTGTTGGGACTCCTGTAAGAGATTTTTGTTTCTAAAAACATGGTATAAAATTTGATTTGAAGTTATAAAATAATACATTATAAAATTACTTCACTATTAACAGCAAAAAATGTAGCCCCTTTGGATTTTTGAACTTGGTGTATAACATTAAAATTAATTGCATTCATATCATGTAACTGTATTAGATTATCTGAAAATTAGTAATATTTTAAAAAGTACCTACTACAAAAGCATTTAAATAACCTGTTAAACTGATGAGTATATTATGAGCAGGAATAACTTCTATTTGCTGTACAGCTTTCTTACTAAATGATTTATTATATCTCATTAGTTGAACTTCACATTTTTCATCCGTTCTTGTTACACTATACATAGAAAGGTGCCCTTGTCGAGTACCCACCAATAGATTTTCATCTAAAAATCGTAAATAAATAACCAACCTCTAATAAATAAACACCTAAATCATACCATACGTTGTAATACATTCAACTTGAAACGATAATTTTATCAAAGGATGGGCGTTATATGCTTCATGCATTTTTGGTTAAGTTTACTAATAGAAGCCTATAATTATAAAAATTGTATTATACTTTTTAATTAATGCACTTTTTCATTATCTTTTGTCTAGGTAAGTATTATTTATTTATTTATTTATCGCAAAATCAAAATAAACACTTTTTAGGTTATGTTAAACGTCAAAATTGACAATTGATAAAAAGCGAAATCTACTTACCGGATTTATAAGGAGCGGCTTATAATTTATATTTAATTATATAATTATAATTTATATTTAATTTTATTTTTTGAATTCAACGTGGGTATGACCAAAGATAATACATTATCTTTATTATTTTATTTATTTTTATTATCTTTGGGTATGACCCATATACCTATAACTATAAGTTATGGGTATATGGTATGAGTCATACCGTATGACCACAGAACATGACCGTTAATTATGTTTCAAGATACATACACCTTAAGATAGGATGGTGCGCATGTTGGGCGGGGCTTAATGACGTCACTTGATGAGTGTTTTTAAATCTTTAACGTGCTTTTTAATTATCTGCTGCTAAAATTCTTGTTTATGCGATGCTTTTGGATGATAACTTGCTCTACTTTTTGTTTAACTAGTCGTTTTTGTGTTCGGTAAGGTTCGAATTACTTTTCAGCGTTCAAATTATTGTTATTGCGTTAGGTTTGTTTATTATTGTTTTTGTGTTGCCTTAACTTGTTTTGTTTGTGTTTTAGATTGTATACAATCTAAATATATAGTGCCATTTGCATTTATTAAAATGCAGTGTGGCATATGCCACACTGCATTTTAATAAATGCAAATGGCACTATATATTTAGATTGTATACAATCTAAAACACAAACAAAACAAGTTAAGGCAACAAATATATATTTGGATGCAATTCGGACAACCAGTCCAAGAAAAACCCTTTAAATAAAAACATTAAATTTAACCCAGTGAACCAAACCGTGACTTATGACCTAAAATTTACGTAACACGTAGATCATATCTAGGTAATACAATTTTTACGTCATAGTGACATAATACTGACCCAAAACGTGACTTTTATATGATGTAATTAAATGACTTACATATTACGTACATCTTATGTAATATTAAAGTCATATCGTGACGTAACATTAAAGTCACTTTTTTTACGTAAGACTGACATAAGAAATCTGTCATAATATTACATAAGTTTTAGGTCACTGTCTTACGTAAGACTGACGTAATAAATCTGTCATAATATTACCTAAGTTTAAGGTCACTATCTTACGTAAGGCTGACGTAAGAAATACGTCATACTATTACATACGTTTTAGGTCACTTTCTTACGTAAGACTGACGTAAGAAATCTGTCATACCATTACATAAGTTTAAGGTCACTTTGTAAGGTAAGACTGACATAAGAAATCTGTCAATGAATGGACTTTTATTTTCAATGAATTAAATAGGCAAACATAATTTTTATTTTTTATTGATTGAAATGGTTAATTCCAATCATTGAGTAAAATAACGTAAGTAAATTCTATTAATTGAAATTGACGCTGATTATTTTAAACAATAAAATCAGTGAATACTTTTCCTTACCAATCAGTTTAATTCAAACATTAAAATACAGAAAATTTCATATTTTGAAATTACATTTGCATCTAGCATGATGAAAGAAATAACGCGAAGTTCCTTGAATTTTTTGGCTACTTAGTACTTGGTCGATTAAATGAAAATATGTTTTAAAATTAATCAAAAAATAATGTATCTTAATTTAATATGTAATAAACATCATATAGATTTTTATGATTCCGGTTCCTACTGCTTTAAGACGTAAAAAATTTTGAAAATAGCGTCGTACTTTCAAAAGTACCTACACATTTTATTCAATGGTCATGTGAAAACTCATGTAGGTACTCATAATCATGGTTGCAAGTACTTGCAAGTACCTACTTATTTTTTAAATTGTAAAAAATTATCAACAAAAGATTTACGTGTTATTACGTGTTAACGTGTTATTTTTGTATTGTATGTTACTGTTATTATTTTTTGAAAATGGCGCTTTTGGTGAAAGTGGAATTTTTTTGTTCCACCCTGTACAATCGAAAAAATAACTAGTTACGCTTTAAAAGACCTGAAATGATATTTCACTCACTTCAAAAAAATGTGACCTTGGCAGTACGACGTCATTTGTTTTTTTTTTAATCCATGCATGTCAAAAAATGTTACCTATAGCTATAGCTACTCATAAAAAGCGATTTTTTTTGTTCTTATTTCTGACATACCCCTGTAAAGAATCTGAAAAATTAGTAGTTGGTTCAAAATCCATTGTGAGTTGGTTTTGATCAGCTTCATAAATTAGATAAAGTATCAGCTTGCAATAAATACCTTTTCGATAATGATTCCATTTCCCATTGAAAAAAATGTGACCTTTTGACAGTACGACGCCATTTTAGAAATTGGTTTAAGTCAAAAAGTAGTACCCAGAGTACCCTTGTCTCTGGTAGTACCTATATATTTAATGCCTTGTTTAACATACTAAAATTTCAATTTACAAATATGAGGTACCATGGGGAAAAATCGTCTAAAGACGATCGTCTTTAGACGCGAATTCGTCCAATCGTCTTTCAAACGATCGACTTTCAAACGATTCAATCGGTTGCGTAGGTTAGGCGGTCGGCTGTACAGATGAAATAATATATATACAGTATGTCCACGGATAGAGGGCCCAAGAGGACAAATGGACTAAAATTTTAATTTTTCGAACAAAAGTTATTCTTTATAAAAAGTTGTAATGGTACGATATACGGGGCAGTTAATTTTTAACATTTCTTAATTTATTATTTTAAGGCTTTACGAAATATGAGACTAATTTTAAATATTTGTTTTTAAAATTGTATTAGGTGTTAGGTATAAGTTTCACTTCCATACATTCTTTATTTGTTTATTATACAATATTAATTTATGACTCCCATCTGGACGACCACTTAAGGGTTCGTTACAGAAAGACGAAATAAGCAAGTTTTGGTTCATGTTCCTGGTCTTTAAAAAATAAACATAAAAGAGCGTGTTAAAAACTGAAGAGAGGGTATTTTTAAAACAGTTGAGTTTTGTTATTTGAAGTAGACAGTTTGGTTTTGCTATTTGAGCAGTCAGTATATTTTAGACAGTTACGGGTTGCTATTTGAAGGGAGTAGTTTAATTCTTTAATTTTGTAAAAGTTGGTTTTGGTTATTTGAAGAGAGAGTTACGTTTTACTATTGAATTCTTGAATTTTATAAGGGAGTGAATTTAATAATACATTGTTTTTTTTATAACTTCAGTTTTTGTTAAAGTGTTGTTCATTTTAATAGGTATGTCTTTTCTATATTTAGTTATTATAATCTGAGGTCACAAATATCATAATGAGTGGTTAATTATTTAATATTTAATTTAAACTATAATTTATTATTATTATTTCAACTTGTTTTGTGTGAGAGAATTAATAAGTTGAATTATTTTTATCTTAAAGGTTTTTGATGGACAAACCAAATTACAAAATTATTATAATCATTATTTTATGTTTATAATTATTATATTTATATTACATTTACTTTAACATATTATATTGTAATGTAATCTTACATTTTACTACATATTTATATTTAACATTTATATACGTTATTTTGTACAGTTTATCTTATTTTATTTATTTGATAAATTGATATTCATTATTTAATATTTTGAGGCTTTGTTGCAATTGCGCCACACCAAACACTTGTTAGAATTTTCTTTTATTGTTTAACGGTGTTGGTATCGGTCGAGGGGGTCGAGCCCGGAGACTGATAAGTATCAATTCACCCATATTTACAATAAATGCTAGGTAGGGCCCATGATGTGAGTTTTTGTGACATTGTCTTATTTTATTATTATTGATAATCATTTTATTTTACTATATTTGATTTGCACTGACATAATTTTATTACTTGACTATACCTGATTGTATTTAATTATCATTTTTATGACTGTACACCAATTTTATGGCATAACTCTTGTCCACCACTACACCACTTGTTATTTATATATTTTATTTATACAAATACCATTTATTATTGTTGCTTGTGACCTAAGTTATATTATACTTTATGTTTCACATTATTGATGTTTGTTGCTGTACATTGATAATTATTTCAATGTGTATTTGCTTTTCTTCACCGTCCGAGCCTACCATTTATGTAGGTGAATAATCTTAGCAATATGATAATATAATTGTTTATATTCATATTGATTACTTTGATGTTTTTGTATTATTTATATTGTTGAGATGTGCGACATATATGCATGTCTGTATTGTATATGTGGGTTTTTAAGGTTTTACCTTATTAACTTAAATCAATCATACTTTTCAAATACAAATGTTTTTATTTATATTATTAATGTACAGTAACAATAATTAACTCTTGTATTAATTGCCTTTATTAATAAACTTATTTTAATTTAATACTTTTTCTTTGCTTTTAAATATCTTTTCAATTGCTCAAGTACTTACGTATCCAGAACCGTATTCACAACAAAAAGGGGTCCTAACTTAATTTCTTTAAACTAGACGATCACGTGTTTTGGCCAAAGGTAGTTTTTTTTTTGAGGTTTTAATATTCTTTTTAATTATTAATGTGTGCCCCCATGCCCCGTTCAGCACAAAGTTCTGCTTGTGTTGAAAAGTCTATTGTCATACTTTAAATTTGAAAATATTATACAGGGGGGTTGAAAAACAAGAAAACATGAAATACTATCAGGAGTAAACTACCTTTATTTTTCGTTTTGGAGAAAAATGACAAATACAAAAAGATTTTAAATCCTATCCAAAGACTACTCAGTATTCCAAATTTTATTTTACTTTTAAAGTTCTAAAATTAAATTTGTATAATTGTGTACCTTAATTTCACGTATTCTTTACCTATGCATGACAAAAAACTGACAGAGTCTTAGATATTAATTTTAAAATTTCGTATTCAAAATATGTCAAGATACAATATCCGTATTTTAAAGTT